AGCTGGACAAGGCAGCAGTTCCATCCACATAAATTGCTAAAGCATGGTAAACATCCAATGAGAACAAGCAACTTCTAGCAGTGAGGAAGGGTGCTGCATAAATGCGGACACAACAATGTCCTGCCGAGACAGGTCTCCATGAAAGCGCTCGCCCCGTTAAACTCAAAGTGGAAAAGGGGAATGTCTGAGATAGAGAAACATTTAGGGCATAAAGCTCTGAAGAGGTTCTGATTGCTTTTAATTAGCTGTTGTATCCATTTTAATTGATTCTGACATTTATATTAATGTTTACAAACATTTTAGCAATTGTGTGCATTGCAATGTATGTTATAAAGTAGTTTGATGTGCTTGGGCTATTCTTCTGAATTGCTTAAAGATATTTTTAAATACACTCAGCAGCACATAAATAAATTAAATAGTTTTAATAATGAAGGTGCAGGCACATTCAGGGGTGAACAAAGAGGAAGAACATTATGGCCTTCACCATAAATCCTAGGAGAGTGTCTGACATAAGAAAAAGACACATGCATATATGTAAGGTCCATCAGCAAAGTTTCCCTACCAGGAGAGAGATAACTGAGACCTGAGAGAGTCCAGGTAGGCCGTATTAAACTAAAAATGTTGGGAGAGACAAAGGTGTGACTTGTCCTTGTTCACCTTGAAGTCAAGATACTTTAGGAAGGTGAAAGTGGCTTGTACCTTGAGATGCAGGACTTAGTGGGAAAGGACAACCAAGGGCTAGTTGTCTTTGAAAAAGAAAACTGTAAAAGTCTTAGAGGGGCCATCACCACTGCCACACGGTTTGTGAAAACACTTGGGGAACTGGAGTGCCCAAAGAACCAAAGGACACAGAACCAAAGGTGTCATCAATCCGATATGAAGCAAAGAAGTGGCAATAGGCAAGTCTTATAGAAATAGGAAAGTATGCAATGGTTTCAAACTAATCTCTGCAGTGGAGCATGGGAGGACAAGATGAAATTGTAGTCGTGCAAATCTTCAGGCAGATGAACCTGCTGATTCCATGGAGATTTAGGAGGGTCTGCCATTCTTTTTGGGAAACATAGACAGGAAAAGAAAGCAGAATACTTTGGCAAGATAACACTTTCTGCAGCATTGTTTTGCCAGAAGCAATACAAGCACTAACCCTTTGTGGGGAGAACTGTGCCTCCACAAAGAATTTCTTAAACAGAACCTTGGAAATCATAAACATCCCAGGCACAGAAAGACCTGGTTTACATATGATGATAGTTTGGAGTAGTTACATGTGAACCTCTCAACAATGGTTCAACTATGGTTTGTAAATATGACTACTTAGGACTAGAAGATAAGGTTTGCTGCTGAGTTGTGAACTTTTGATTGTCTATGGTTAACAATTCATAGTTTATTTTTATTCATTTATTTATCAATTTATTAATTTATTTATTACATTTTAATACCACCCCATAGCCCAAGGGGTCTCTGCATGTTGTTGAACCATAATGCAGAGTCTCCAGGACTCTCCATAATGCAGAGTCTCACCCATGATTCATCCAGAATGCATTATCAAGATCGTTATATGTGAAATATCTCCATGATGAAACCCAAATGAGAAATGAAAAGACAAAAGGGAAAGATCATGTAACAATAGAGGGAGACACTGAAAGAACTGAAGAAATGTAAGAACTAATCCTTAGCAGACCTCTAAGACATGACATTGTTGTGACGGATGAAAAGGATCTGAGCAGAGAATGTGTATGCATGCCCTAAGCATTTGTAGTGTAGACAGGGAGGGCTCTTCCCCAAACTCTGCTACTTTCTAGAATGTTCTGAAGGATGCTCTGCACACACACAGAACCATGCATGTGAGTCACAGAAGACTATGAAGAAGAATGATTGTCACATCATGTGTGTTTTAGCGTGGTTGCATTCCTGGAAAGCTGTTACTTGGAGCAATACCAGAACCCAATACTGCTAACTTCTACCTGCAAACTCATTTACAGCCAGATATATCAGGGAAATATTTTTCTGGTGTGAAAATATAGCAATGGAGAAAGCTACATCTATTGATTCCCTCCACTGCTCCCCCACCCCTTCTCTTGACAGCGGTATTAATAGCACGTATAATATAAAAACTTGACATCCTAGGAAACCTCCGAGCCAAAGGCTGATAAAAGTGGAATCAGAGAACATAGCCTGGGGAAAGCATGAGCCTGTGCAGAGTGGACACTGGTGGTTCCAATGTCCGTGAGGCATTGTATCAGCTTTGGGTTTTAGTCTGAACTTTAAAGGTGCTGAATGCTAGCTTCAGAATAGGTGCAGCATTATTGGGGAACTCTGCTCATGTTCAGACTACCACCCAGAGTGGATAGACTGCCCCACTGATATTGGAGCCACTAGTCTCCACTGCCTGACTTATTTGATAAAGTAGAGAAAAGGCTACTTGATTTGTGACCCTTGGCTTTGCTTTCTTCTCCTGGCCTGAGATTCTGCAGTCAGCCACATGGGCAGCATTTGGAGCTTGTTCAGTAATCACATCTGGCTCAAATTGCGGTGGCCGCCTGCTAAGTGGTGCCAGGCAGATCAAAGTATTAAACTAATCTTTCAACAACTGCACGGAATTTCTATTCCCATGGAGTTCAACATGATGACTTCAGTCCATAAAGCCTAAGTGATTTCAGTTTGGGCATTTTCGGTGACTGTCCCATTTCGGCAAGTTGCCACAGTAGCCTGGAGAGAAGCCTGTGATTTTCTATTTCCAATTATGTTTCTCCTCCAGAGTGCCAATGGTCCCCTTCCTTCCAATTGCTTTGATGCAGAGGGAGCAACAAATGTTTAGAACGATAATTGCCTTTTATAAAAACTTAAAGGACATCCGGCACATTTTGAACCTGTTTGTTACTTAAAGATATAGAAGCAAACCCATGTTTTAGTATAACATTTGTCATTTGCATAGGGAAAAAGAAGTGTTTTCACTGGAAATCTGCTATTATGAGGCATTCATCAGAATCAAACAACAGATTTTGATAGTATCACCCTCTCTTGCAGAGCTCATTACCTGGAACCTGTGTCCCCAACATGGACAAAGCTGACTGGATAGTCAGGCCATTTGAATGGGAATGGTGATTTATTTTTTAAATTAGGTGGGCAACCTCTGGGAACATTTTCATCTCACACAGGCAGCATTCTACAGGACATTGGCAAAAATGGGGTTTTAGGGTTACAAAGCGCTAAACTGGTCATAATCAGTACCTTCTGAAGCCAAATTGGCCAAATTATCCTCAGAACAAGCTAAAATTGCCTGTTTTAGCAATCCCTCCATAGTGCAGGGATTGGGTCCACTTCTCCCAAAATACAACATTCCAAGGCAGAGATTTCAGATTCTGAATCTGAACTAGAAGAAGAGATGGCGTTGGAATGCTTTTCTAAAATTCCAAGGTTAACAAGCTGCAAAACAGGCAAAGGGGCTGGTAAGAACCAGACTTTCTCTGGTTTGCAGGACACACTGTAGAACAGGGAGGATAAAGGGAGTGGGATGTGAATTTATCCACCCAGTGGTTTGATGGCAAGTCAAACAAGGGCACCGATAAGTAATGTCCAGCATTGCTGTGGTCTAGTGCAGATGCAGGATGAACCTCCCTGAGGGCAGACCCAACTTCCTTGGAAGGGAAGGGAAGGGAAGGGAAGGGAAGGGAAGGGAAGGGAAGGGAAGGGAAGGGAAGGGAAGGGAAGGGAAGGGAAGAAAGGATTTCACTTGGGAATAAACTCCCAGTATTGGCTAAACATACAATAAGAGGGAACCTTAACTTGATGAATACTCTTGTCAATTACTTTTAATATTTCTCATTTGTATTAAAATTGCCAGCCTTGATTGGCCAACCAAACTCAATAAAACACTGTAGTTAGAAGTCTTTTGCCATGATCTGCTGGGAATGGAGTGGGGGAAAGATGTGCTCTCAGCACACAGCGGCCCGGGGAAGGGTAGTCCATAGGTGCCCTGAAGCTTGTGTGCTGCCCACCCAAGCACTAAATGCAATGATCGATGTTCTAGTTTCAATGCTTCCTGCCTCCTCCTTTTACCAGTTCCTTGACAGGCTTCCCTGACTTGACCGCTGTGGCAGAAAGTGTCCTGCTGGCCACAGAAGGTGAGAAAAAAGGTCACAAAGAGACTGATAGAAGTACAATGTACAGGCATGCAGTTTTTGGCACTCTGGCACATTTAAAGGCACAAGTGACATTCCATCGAAAGCTCCAGATGCCCTAGGATTGAAACCAAGGGTTGCATAGTTCTTTATCATGTCCTGATTAATCTTTCCCCAAAGGCATATTCCTTCCTCCATGTTATCCTCAGGCTGTTTTTACTATAAGAAGCAACGGTAGGCCCAGTTGCCCTCAGGACTCCCCCCACACCACTAATATTCACAGTAGAGTAATACCATATTACAGTGTGAGCGGGATCCACAGCATGAGTGCTCACTCAGATTCATCTTCACGAAGTGTTCTCAGATCACTTCTTTTCATCAAGCACTTGCAGTGGAAAAAAGAAATTCCATGAACATTAACACAGAAAATTTCTTTCCTTACTTCTAAAGAAGTTGTCCAAACAGGAGACAAGCCAAGCAGGTCTCCTGTAGCAATCCTCCAAAAACTCAACGCATACATAGGAATATAGGAGCTTCTGAAAAACATCCTATTGCATGCTCAGGACCCCAAAGAACAGCACTGGCCTATACCAGGGCCAGTCTTGTGGTTCAGTCTGGTGGCATTGTTACTACCAGTGCCAACCCTTCCATCATCTTGTTGGTTCATGTTCTGGGAATGGCGCATTCTCCTCAAACACACACACACACACACACACAGACTTGAGGCTTTAAGCTGCCCTCAGTGCTTTTATGCTCAGCATGTGCATGTGGGATGGGGATTCAATAAATGAGTGGAGGGCTCCAAGCAGCCTTCACACACAGGAACAGGGGTTCAAAGGTTCCCTGCTTTAACCCGCTTCCATAGTCATTTATGTGACTCACCCGTGCTGCTTTGAATGGTCCTCACGGTGGTGGTTGTGCGTGGTGGAGATGAAGACCTCAGCGACAAACACTCATCATCTTGGGAACATCCCTTTTCGATTGCCCTCACGTAACTGTGGCTCCTCATGCGGAAGCAGCCTGGCATTGGCAGATCCAGGGCCTCTACTGCCTGAGACTCTAGTTCGCTGAATACGGACTCGCAGACTGATTCAAACTGACCATTTACTTCCATCTCACTCACCTGCAGGCAAAGAGGAGGCCATTTAATTATATCCAGTCCAGCAGTCCAGTTTGCATTAGCATCAATTCCCAAAGAGAAAAAGGGGAACAAAGCAGTACATTCTTCCTGGTGAAGTATCACAAAATAGGTAAGAAGGTAATTACCATTACCTTACTTCGGTGCCTTTTCAAGTCTCTGCAGTATGATGGTAACCATATACATCAACCACAAAAGATTCATCCTGGCAAAAATAGCAAAAGCTGCCTGAAAGTATAATTATACAAAACCAAGGCAAGTGCCCTAGCTTTTAAAGTCTTATGTCAGCACTGGAATTAACTTTAATTAAATTAAAAGTATCATTTCTAGTACTGATTTGTTGGAAATAAAATCTTGAAAGTTTTTTTTGGGAGGGGGGTGACGGGAAAGAAATATTTTTTACAAAGTTTTAAAAGCACATAATTGGTTTCTAAGATGCCAAAAGAGCCATCTGGATTTTATTAGAGCATTTAATAAAGCTTAACAGAAATCAGTAAAATTAATATAAAGACACTGAGAGCTTATACAGGAAATTTCTGGTAGGAGAGGCACTATTTGAACAAATGGTATCAATGTATCGCATATCCATGTAAGTTTGCTATATTTTTTAAATCTTGTATTATTGTATTGCATTTTCTCTGTACAGTATTTGTAACCTCATAGCAACCAACCATGATATAGACTAGATTGAGAGATGAGAACTTCCCAAAGCCATGCACAAGCTTCATGGCTCAGTGAGGATGTGAAGATGGGTTTATCGCATTCAAGTCAAGCATTGTAGCTCCTGCACACCATCAAAATGGCTCAGGGTCTGTAAGCATCCCTTCATGGAATGCATTCTCCTGCTCCATTTCTCAATGTTTTCACTGCAGCGTGAACATGTTTTTCACTTTAGATCTTAAATGGTCTACACATTAGAGTGTGCATTTGTTGCATAATGCTGTGACTAGCCTGGGTTCCCCAACTTTGGGCCAGTGGGCACATGTTGAATTTCAAGACAGTGTTGCATAGGCTCTCACAAGTCTGAATGGGACCTGCCCGTTCAGAAAAGGGGCACTACGGTAAGCAAGGCTGTTCACAAACACTTCTTTCCAAGACGGCAAACTGGTGAGTCTAAACAAAAATAACTACGACACAAAAGCTTGGAAGAGGGCTCTAAAAGATGGAACAATTATTCTGAACTTGAATTAAGATGGTGCTGGAGGGCAACAGTTTGCTTTGGAGCATGCCAGCCTCCCTTCCAGTTACTTTTTTTCTATTTCAATTTATCTTAAGAAATGAAATAAGAATCAGGATTGGTGAGCACCAAGAGAAGTCTCTGCAAGCACACTGGTGCTCATAAGCAGCACACTGGAGATGCCAGGAACATAGTAACATGAGGGTTTTTCAGGGAAGCAGGTGGGATGTTTCATGGTACTGAAATTTGGTTGTTTTGTGCAAAAGGTTCAAAGTGATTGAGAAAATAAATGGAGGAAAAGCAATGTCCAAGGATCAAACAATACGTTTGGGTAAATGCATGTCTACTGCTGAAAGTAAAGGCAGCACCTCTATCTCCATTACTTTCCCCTATGTAATTACTAGGATATTGTAATGAGTCATGATTCACCACAACCACCCCTGGCAGCCCCTGTTGCAAAAGGGGAGTAAAAGCAGTCAATGATACAATTGAGATATGTTCTGGAGAGGGGCACACATTTGGTTGTGTGTGGGGGTGGTACTTGTGTGTGTGTCAGGGAAGAATGAGACGCTGTGTGGCTATTTTGGGTTCAAAAACACTTTGGCCCTAATGATGTTCAGTCTAATTGAATCCTGAACACTGCTAGAAACCAGCAGTGAACCTTGGGCAGGGTACAATCTGCACAAAGGCTACTGAAAGATCAGACTTCTGAGTGACAGATTGGTTCTATTCAAAGACAAAATGGAAGTCAACCATAGAAGAACCCACTGGGTCACAGTATGCCAAAATTGAGACTGGTAACTCACCCTGAAGGCCACATAGTTTTGCTTACAACTCATAGTTTAGCAGGAGGAAATTATTCTGCACAAACACAGAAGATTCCATGGCGCTTTGTGTGCATGCATGTGAGATTAGATTCCTTAAATAAAGTGTGTCTCTCTTCGGCTGTTTTGTGCCAGCTGGCTTTCAAGCCTCTAACTTCCACTCCAGCAGTGGGTGTATTGGTAAAAAATGAGTTCATTTAATACTGCCAACTTCAAGTTCTCAGAAACCATGTGTCAGCCTAACAAGATAGAGAAAGGGTCTTGATGATAAGGTTGAATACATATGAATCACTTTCCCTCTGACTTTTGAAATGACGGAATCTGCCTTTCCAGGTCTTTCTCCACAGTCTTAGGATAGAAATAAACTTATTCTGTCTAAACGGAAGCAAATTATTTGACTCTAGCAGCTGCAGCCATAAGAAAAACTTGAATTATTACAAGAGTCATCCATGAAATCACCAGAAAAAGTGTGTACACAACCACAGATAGCAAAATGCTACTTATTTTCTGTAATTTCATGTTCCCAATGCACTGCCACAGAACATTTTAAGCCCCGTGATTAAAAAAGGTTTAATTTGGATTTTTTCCCTATAAATTTACACATTTTTAAAATATACAGAAGAGGATAATTCAGTAAAACACCTGAGACACTTCCTCATGGAAATCCATCCCTGGGAAATCTGAAAACTGTCCTCTTAGGAATTCCATTGGAGTACTAGAGCAATCATCCCTCACTGATAGGAATCCAATGGAGCAGGCAACATCTTCCTGGACGTTCTTGTTTACATATCCTTTCCCCACTTGCACATCATAATAATGGGCATTGCTGTTGTTGTAACAGAAACCACAGTAACATACACTATCTGTATTCATGCTCCTATCTCCTGATTTGCTTTCTGTATTTATATGCCACTTTTCTATAAACTATAACCAAAGCAACATAGAAAATAAAACTAAAAGTGGCAGAACACTAAACAAGACCCCTTTTAACCAACAACAACAACAAAACCTTTAAAGAAGACGATAATTTAAACAATACCACTGAACTACCATCCAAGCATTAGCTGAAAAAAAGTAGTGCAAACACTTCATCTTTATTTGTAGAGTTGGCAGCAAGCCTGGTATAACATTTTTTCCTTCTTTGACATACAGGAAAATGTATAAAAATAGGACTCACTTAACATTGCACAAGTGGATAATGGATATTAGTTCCATGTGTATAACTTTAACACCTTGCATCTCATAGATTCATCATGAATAAAAATCATGCACTGATGTCTCGAAACTGCTCTCAAATGCAATTAAAAATGCTGTTTCAGAGCTGAACAGATACACAGAAATGCTGAAAATGCTTCTAGCCTGGGACATGACTTGGTCTATGGCCATCCCTGTCCTTACCACACTGGGTTTCCACAAGTTTACATCTTTCAACAGATGTCAATGGCAGCCATTCATGTATAAAAGAAAGTAAAAGACCACACTTGGAAATAGTATTTTGACAGTGATTAAACTTCCTTGCAGCCTTTTGCCTCCAGCCAATGAAATCAAGCCTGCTCCAATCTATGCAGGGCAAGCATAAGATTCTTCGCCATACAACAGTATGATGGAATACTGGGAATTGGGCTTTATAGGGGTAAGTGATTGGAAGAAGAAGAAAAAGCGGCAGCGGCAGCAGCATGCTGTGTTTAGCTATATCGATGCCTTCATCTGAGAACTACTCAGGCGCTGTTCATTGTATGCTTGCCGAAGTACTGTAGACTGCAACTGTTCTACGCTGATCGAAACTGGCTTTTGTCTGACATTAGCCTTATTTTCTTGCTCGTGCATGCATGCCACTCACCTGACTAATAGTGCTCATGGCCCGCATGTAGCTCTCATTTCGTGATCGGAATTTGGGAGAAGTAAGCAGAGCTGCAGGGTCCAGGCTATCCAAACTTCTGTTGATTGAAACTTCACTCACTGCCCTCAAGTAGCTGTGGCTTCGGATCTGAAGCTTTGGAGAATGTTCACTAGATATCCTTGAAAGGGAAGAAAATAGAGCAATAAATGTTACATCGTATCAACATTTCTTCTGTGATGAGTAATGACAATACCTTGTAACCCAAGTGGCAACTCGGATCAAACAACTGCAAAACATCCTCCCAAAAAGCACAAAGAGCAAGTAACCCCAAGCCATTTATAAACCCAATGCTGTACAGGAAGTTGGCTGTTTCTGGTTCATTTGTTCAAGTCATCTTCTTTCTAATTTGAAGGACAAGCCTGTCACAACCTGATCATCTGCATTACACTTATTGACAGCAAAATCCAAGACAGGGCTTCTTGCTGCAATAAGCATTGAACTGCTCATATCCATCATGGCAGCTTGACAAGCAATGCAATAGGAATTTATTTAATGCATAAGGATGGCAGTGGATCCTATTTTTTAAAGAGTAAATAGCTAGACTATTCAAATGAATTGACTTTTTAAAAAGCATTACTTTCAGATTTTCAGATAAGAATTTTTAGTGGGGTCTAAAGTAAGATCATGCTCCCTGTGCATTATTCTGAGGTTAGGAAGAGGAGTACAGTTGCAGCAAAAGCTAATTCAGGTCCAAGTAATTAACTGAGAGCCAAAGACCTATAGAGAGTGCCAGGCTGATAGAACTCTTGCATGCAGTGAAGATTCCAGAAAAAACTAGGACAGAACTTTAATTATTGTGGGTTGCATAGGATTTCTAATTCTGTGTTTGCTTCTAATGTACAAAATGAGGCAGAAGTGTGTGTACCTGTGTGTTCATGCGTGTGCGTGTGTGCACATGTGATGAACTTAACCTCTGCAACTTTTCCTGAAGCCAGTTGTTTCTGTTTCAGTCTTCTCCAACCTGTTGCCTGTCAGATGTGATGAACTACAACTTCAGTTCCCAATCCAGCAGCAATACTAGCTAAGAATGACAGGAATTGTAGTCCAACACATCCAGAGGATACTAGATTGGGAATGGCTGTTTTGTTTGACGTGAAGTCCAGTAGCAGAACCACACTGGGATGTGGGATTGCACAGGGAGTGTGGAGCACAGAGAAAGCAGCATCTTCTCCCCAGTAACTGCAGAGGTACCGCTAGGTAATTTTAAACCATGACCTTACTGGTCTGACAGGGTCCTCCTTTAGACCAGCAGTTCAGCTGTGAAAGACACAATTGCTTTTCTTTCCCTGCCCCTCTCTCTGCCTTGCAATGGCTTCTGTGTTCCTGATATATAGAAAAATAAGTAACTGAAGTTCTATTTTATATGCAAGTACATATTTAAAGTAAAAAGAATAACATTGCATTTGTGATCATGTATATATCTGGCAGTTCATCCCAACTAATAAAAAGTTTTAAAGGAAAAGAAAAAACAGAAGTACAGCAGATACCCTGTAGTGTATTCCATCAACTGCTACTTCCTAGCAAGTCATCTGGAGTCAGACCTTCCTGGGCTGTGGGGGTGACAGATTCCAAAGAAATCCCACTCACACTGGATGAAACTTAAAACGTCGACATGGATTTAAAAGCTGTGTCTTTGTATGTTCTGGTCTTCGCTTCAGGTATGAGCACATCTAAGGCAAATGTTCCTGGAGTGTAGCCCTAGCTCCACTTGGAAATCAGTTCACTGGAAAGTAGGGCAAATAGGGGAGAGGAGACGGGGAACTGCTCTGCCTTGTCTAGGAAGGGCTTCCCATGCCAAATGACAGCCTTTGCATTTTGTCATCACAAGTTGAGCTTATCTTTTCCTTGGATATATAAATATTAAAGTAAAAACAATGAGCAGGCATTTAAGATGTACTATTTCAGAATGTGTTAGAAGGTACTCACCTTTACTTTGGCAAAGGGAGATTGTTCTACTCCCAAGCCAGTGTTTTTTTTCTTTTAAAGATGATATACGAAACCTGAAAAATTCATATCTTTCACTAAGTGTCTAAAAGTGAATCTAGAAATACTTCTTTTACCCAACACCTCTTTATTGATCCTGGCACAGATATAACAGACATTTCTGCTCTAAAGGCACTAGTAAGCACTGCAGTCCCCTTTTCCTAAGCATGAGTCAAACAGCTCAGTTTGTGGAGTGCTGGTTAGATCCTCCTCAGCAGTGATGATTTCCTGTCTGTGCTGCTCTGCACATACCTGCAATCTGCTGTCATTGGTGGCCTCAAGATTTCTGGCTGATATACTTAAGTATATGACAACAGCAGCAAGAATCACAATTGCTTCTAAATGGAAATCACCAGAGCTGCCAACAATTGAAGAATGGAGAAGTAGATTAACAGACTATGCTGTGATGGCAAAGTTAACTATGTAAATAGAAGATCCTTAGAAGAATTTAATGATAAATTGAATTTTTCTTAAGCTCCACATGACTAATGGAAGTTGAGGGGAGTCTGGAAAAGAAAAAGGAAAGCAGTAGAACTTGAACTGATTAGAATATCTGTTGTTGTATAAATTAATGATTTCTTTTCTGTAAACAGGAAGAAAGTCTTGGGGGATTTAATGTATAGGCTGTATTTGTTTAAAATTCCCTTGGCAACTTTGCTCACCTTGTTTATTTCAGTTTGTTCTGTTTAGTTTAGTTTTTTCTGTTCTACATTTTCTTATATGTACCTGTACATATTAAGAAAATAAAAAAGATTTCTGGCTTATATTATATATCTCATCATATCCCATTGTATCCAATATCCATGATGATTTAAAATGGGTAATGAAATTTAGGTCTACTGCTTAGTGATGGTTGTTGTAAGTGTAACTGTGGAATGGGTAAGGATGCTAAGGGTGCAATCCTATGCAGGCTTAGACAGGAAAAAGTTATATAGCTCCCAGCATTCCCCAGCCATGGAAGACTTTTTCTCTCTAAAGCTGCATAGGATTGCACCCTAATGCCTACCTGGAAAACCAGGAAGTAATGGCATGATACTGACTATCACAGATAAAATAGTCATTTCATAGTAAAAGTCTCACCTATGAACATCCATGAATGGGTAAGCTTCTCTGTTAATGAATTGTTAATGAATGGGAGAAGGAAGTATAGTTTGGTTGAGGCATCATGTGTCCACAGGGAGAGCCTATGGTGCCATGCATGACACAAGCATTTGCAGATGACATTTTGCTTTTATTATGCTGCCCAGAGAAGTAATCTCTGAGGCAGCCCCTCAACAGTCAAGTGCTTTGCTCAGAGAGCGAGGCTGCTGAACACACAATGTGGATTGTAAATGGGCAGCAGCCACAGATTATGTCTGCTTAATTCCCTGTTATGGGAGCCATTAGCACCATGCCTAAAAGTACCAGAAGACAAAACTGTTCTTGAAACAGGAACATCACACTTTTCTTTAACCTTTAAAAGCTGTTCTGTCTTCCCCCACTGGAATTGCAAGGTCCCATCTGCTCATGTCTTTAACTGCTCGTCCTTTCAGCACTCAGCAAGCAGGTCAAACTTTGACAAATGCAGGATGTACCTTACCCGATGAAATGCTTTAAAGGCATGTAGAGGAGGAGCATGCTGAGGAAATGCAAATAAACAGCTCGAAATAAATGGCCAGAGTTAGGAGGGTACAACTGCATTAAGGACACTGGCAGCTTCTCTACCCAAGAGATAAAATGTATATACAGCCTGGCTGGTTTACATGAACAAAGGGCTAACATAGAAACGTTCAAACAGTCCCTATTCAAGTCTTTAGCTCAATGTAAAGCCAACCATGCTTGCTTTACAAAAAAGGTAAAAGAAAAGATAAAAAGATAAAAGAAAGTCCAAAGGGTCAAGACTCAGCACTTTGACAGTACTTGCGAGTGGTACATAAAGATAATTCTTTACCGGGTTGTTGCAAAGCACACAGTATGAGATGTTTAGACCCCCTACTTAAGTGCTGAAAGATGCCAGTGTCCATCCTCACAAGCCCAGAAACATCTGCAATGCGCACTGAGCATGTGGAAATAGTTCCTGCTTAAAGCAAACCAGAACCAACATTTTAGGTGGTCCCAAATGCTGGAGACAATAGCTGTGATGCATCATGTTTCAAGTTGGTTCAGTTGCCTTACTACCATGGCTAACCTCCTGCATGTTCTGAATTTTTGTTTGAACTGTGCTGCAAAATAGAGTAAATGAACAGTGTAAACACTGAGGGAGACCAAGAACAAACATGTGGCAAACAAGTCTATTCAACTAGATCAGACATATTCTCATACTGACACAGGTCACAGAACCGGGGCAAGGATACTGCTGATGTTCCTGTGCTATATCACAAGACAATTTGATACCAGTGTGTACACAGCTATCAGCTAATGCATGGTTGCAAGAACAGCTGCACAGGAACTTAGTTCATTGTCTCCATAAATCTACTTTAAATGTGTGATTATCCTTCCTATGCTTCCCCCCTTTACTACTCTTTTTATACTTTGCCTACTTGCACACAATCAGTCATGAGAAAATTGTACCGTTCACAATCATTTTCTAGATGCTACGCATCAGAGGCTTCCAATTCTCTTGTAAGCATAGATGCATGGATCAATTCATTCACATTGTTTCTCAGCCACCATGGAAACCTGGTATAGAAGAATCACACCTCAAGCGGAATGTGAGGAACATAAAAATGGAACAATCTCAATAATAGCTGTGACTATGGCTTGATTTTAATTGCACTTAAAGAAAAAAGTTAGGGACAAAACCTGAGTTCAGTTACATGTTTAGTTGGGTGACTTCTGATCAGGCCATGGTAGAACATGCCTTAGTTTTATCTTGCCTGGATTAATGCAATGTGCACTATATAGGGCTGCTTTTGATAAACTTCAGCTGATTCAGAATGTTATAACCTAAGAGCATGCAGCTGAGCTCAGGCTGCTGATTTGTTTCATTTCCTCACCTCCACTTTCATCATTTCTTGGTGGCTGCTCCATGGCTCTGGAACACCCTTCATTAGTAAACATCGTAACTAGCATCTTACTCTAACAAGTATGTTCCATGGCTTTCTGGATGTGCCAACTGAATCAGAAAGCAACAACTTTTCTAAGAGCAAGACCAGT